AAAATGAACCACCACAATATACAACTTAACAAAACATAATGAGATTGTTGTCATTAAAATTCATTCATTCATCCAAAAAAAATATATATTATGCAATAGATAATAAAGCTCGGCTCTTCCAATATCAAAATTACAAGCGCGCGAAAATAAATCAAGTCGTGGTTGCAAATAGTATCAGTTACAGTCGCCATTTACAAAGATAGCAACAAACATCTTACATAATACCTGTTGCAACAATTTAAAAAAAGAAAAAATCACACCAACTTTAAAGCCTTTAGAGCCTCTATCAGCCTACAAAGAATCAAACGAGCCACTCTTTAACCTCTCCATACGAGCCTGGAGGCCAGATAAGGCCCTCTCGTCCATAGGAAGTATACCTCCCTGCATATGACTATTACCAGTTTGCCCTTCTGTAACGGATGGATTATTAGCATTTCCGTTTACTTGTATTAATGGCCGGTTTCTTGACTCGGGGTTCACTCCAGCAGCAGCTAACTGAATGCTCTTCATTCTCTCTCTAATGGCGTCTAGAGATCCATTTACGACTGCAGTTAAGGTACACAAATTATTACGTGCTTGTGCTCCCACAAAGTAATCAGGTTTAAAGCAAAACAAAATTAAATAAAATACTAAGACTTCTGCTGAGATTTAAACATAATAATAAAAGAAAAACCAACATTTGCTCACTGACAAAATGGGAACCCTCAAGAGGAGGGTTGTTTGTTAGGTAACTGAGAAACTTTAAACTAGGCTTAAAAGTCGGATATATATTTTTTTTTTATTAACAAACTAATGCAATGATAAGATTAACTAACCACCAGCTGGGTATCTGTCATTTCTCGACTCCTCAAAATTCTGTTGTAGCCCCGATTGGTCGTAACTCGATACTTTCGAAGTGACGGCATCATTTTCTGTATATGACGGAGGCAAGCTAAAATTTGTGGGTTCAACTCTTGTGTTCATATTCCGTGAGTCAGTCAACGGATTTGAATTATTTACAGGGGAAAGAGGGCCATATCTTGGAGAGAGGTTAAGAGCTGCTGGTGGTGGAGTAGGTAATGGCACACTTGCATGTGTTCTTCCAGCAGCTGCATTTCTCTCCATCTGCAAGCAGAAATGAAATTAAGCACATGCTTAATTAAAGGTCACTAGAGATAAAAAAAAAACCTTCAGCAAATATAAATAATATAGATCAAACCTGGGCCAAGCCATCTCTAATATATGTCCGGAATGCTTCGCTGGCATTTTGAAGCTGTGCGAATATATCAACCTAATAAACAGGAGAAAATAGTATGTGTGAGAATATATAAGGCTGCCAAAGATCTATGGACATTTTAAAAGCTGTTTTGAAGTGAATTATTTTGTATACAAGTATAGTTGAAAAGCAAGAATGAACTGATTTACCTGAGGGTATAACTGTGTTATACGATATAGCTCATACAGACCAATCGAGCAAGTTTGCTTGTCACCAATTTTTTTAAATATCGCAGCCAGTTCTTGCTGTTTTACGCAGTCCAATAGAAGTCAAATTAGAAAAGAGAGCAAAAAAGGTAAAGGGCAGGAATAAAAAATACAAAATGATTGGACACACTTAAACGCCACAATACCTTCAGTTGGGAATCAGCCGAGTGTGCCGCAGGTGCTGGGTTGTTGGCAATCGAGTCATTCCAATGAGTTTGCCCAACTGGTACAGATGGCGTCAACATTCTTGCAGCTGCCAAAGTCTGCTCATTTTTTGAAACAAAATAAATAAATAGATAAATAAATAAATAAATCATAAACAACCACCACCAGTGGATCACCATTCTAAACAACCATATCATCAAGAGAAACACCATATTACCTGAAGATTAAGATCAATATAGGCCAGAATGATAGGTTGAGGTTGCATGTCGATTGGGACCATGGAAAGATGACCCTTAATGGCAGTACCACGAAGTTTGACAAGCTCATGCAGAACAGTTTTAACCATCCGAAGTGGTTTATCATCAGCTCCAGCTCTTTAGTAAATCAACAAGGAGAAGGAAACATTATTATGCACATACCTGTCTTGTTACTAAGTTCAAACATAACTTTTCTATGTTCAGGTATTTAGGTAAATACCTCTTCCGTATTTCATCCATTCCCAATTCTTGTAGATATATATGGATACTCTGGAGGATGCGATCAAGATCTACATCGTATATTGTATTTTGCAAGACCTAGAATTTCATATTTATACAGGTCAAGCCAAAAAAACTATACAATGTATTATGAGAAAATAATCTTAATTTTTTTTTTAAAACAAGAGCACAGATGTCTAAGAAAGCTTACCTTGGTAAGTTTGATTAAACACTTGACAACCAAATCCGAGAACTTCTGATTCCTAACAATGAGAGACTCGTTTGTTGCTGGAGCAGGCCACCTCGATGGATCCAGAGGCCGCAAGAGATTTATAAGCACGACAAATGATGAAGTTCGGTCGGCGTTGTCCTGAACGCGAAATCCAGTCATTCAAAGGAGCATACACGAGGATGTCGAATAAAGAAAAGCTATGAAACCAGCCAGTCCTCGTGTATTGTGCAGCTTTTATTCAAAAGATTAAATATAAAACAATTACCAGTATCTTCAACATCAAAACATTCAGAGCTCTCAAGAGTTGACTGCCATCATCCATCTGAGGAACCCTTTCATCCAAGAGCCAAAGCAAGAGTTCCGTAATTAGAATATCAAGGGTTCTTTCCTTGACTGCATGAGCAAGTCTCTTGTTCTGAAAAATCTGCAGAAGGAAGGATAGTAATTTAATAAGTTCAATCGCCACAAAATAGAAATGATTTGCTGATTAAACCGAATGCAAGTCCAAACTCAATTGTCAGCCTGAAATAGGAGTGCAGCAAAAATCAACAGACAGACTGGAGCGTTTACCTGCATCAGAGTGTTCAAGACATATTTACAAGACCTTGAAGAGGCACCAGTGAGACAAAAGTCAAAAGTCTTTGCCACCTGAAACAAAAGTACAAGTGAAAAGGCGAAACAAAATGAGCGAGAAGTTCTGCTAAAATATATGACAAAAGGCAAAGAATTACAAGTGTTATTAAATGGCAGATGGCGGCGGTAAATGGTGGCAGGCCAATATCCCGCCATAGCAGCAGCCATAACCACCATCCTTCACAAATTCAGCATGGCGATTTGGCACAAATCAGCCACGCCATATTGCCATGGCCACCATTTGATAACACTTACAAACTTTTATATTTTAAGACACTAAAGAGGGAAAACATCTAAATTGCCTTATTTGCCAAGCATGAAACAAGTTTATCAGCATCTTTCAGTACATCGTCCAATCTGTTGCCATCAGGATCAGCTGTTGCTTGTGCCAATTCATGGCATACAACTTTCATCCCTTCAACAGACTGCAGGATAAAGGAATTCAATTATATATGACAAAACTACAAATTCAGAGAGTAAAATTCACTCAGTTAGACATCCAGGATTTCTTTTTCATAGGCATTTAAAGCACACCTGCTCAGGGGAACCATGTTGTATAATATCCAAAGCTTCATTCCAATCTGTAGGGCCCATAGCAATATATGTCTGGGTCAATTGAAATCTATCTGTGTGAACTTCGGGAAGACCAAAGTTCTCCCTGTAACAAAAATGGCAATAATGATTAAATATGCCACAAAGAAAACTTTTTAAGTCATATTCTTGACAAATTAACTATTATGTTTTTAGAGATTATTTTTTAATTTTAATTGATTCATGTAATTTTTGTAGAAAATCTTGAAGCACGAAGAAAAAAATACAATTTTTTTGTTGTTTTGAAGTGCAGAAAATAGAAATGGGCGTGTGAATGCATTTTTCCACAAGAGAGGGGAAGAAGGAATGTATCCTAAGTTAGAAAGAGAATAAGAAGACTTCATGAAGTTTCTGTTTTTGTACTATTTTATTTCTATTCGGGACATAATCGAGAAAATGTTCTCTCAGTACCTTTTTACGTATTTCGTACTATGGTTAGGAATAGAATACTTTAATAAAACATATAACCAGTTTCCTCTAATTATTATCTGTTTTGGTTTAATTGATTCACGCAAGCTAGTCATTTGTTCGATTGTTAAAATGCATACCGTCATTTAAAACGTAAAATCCATAGTTGTTTGACTATTCTAATATTGGTGGCAAATAGTGTAATGATTAGATAAGGGTTTTTGATTGAATGCTAAGGATATATGATCTAGTTTAAATACATGTACCTTTGTTGGCTAGAATTGTGATCCTTCTAGGTTGTAAATAGGTTGTAACTCTATATGATAGATTAAATCCCATTGTTATAGATCGGGTTATACTTGATTAGGGATATGAAGGATAGATTATTCGGTCGTACCAATAATCATAACTGGTTTAATTAAGAGTAGGAGAATTCTACTTTGCATCAATGAACTAATATGTGAACCATTTCTAAGAGGTCTTCCTTGGTTGGATATTTTTCTTATTTGATCCTCTATATTTTTCTCTCGTCACTCTAACCCTTAGATTCATTTTGTTTGATTGTTTGCTTTTTTTTTTCTTTTAGGCAGATCAAAATATCAAAGCCCTCATCCTTTTTGTTTTTAATTGTATCGCTTTCATAAGTAGTTACATCAGATCATTGTCTTATTTTCATTCTCTGTGGGCATGACCCTGCTTAGCTAAGTTTTATATTTTCATGAGTAGGAATTTATTATTGTTGGTTTCGACAACCACCAAAACTAATCTCGCTAATAAGAGATTAAGTATCCAATAATAGTGGTGGAGATTTAGTCAAATATCAGACCACGATAAGCCTGTGCTTGTGCATGTTAAGAACGTAAAAATCATACCGGTTGAATATAGGCACGTTAATAGACCGTGAAACTTCTCCACTTGGCTCAGCTGGATCCGAACTATAGAGTAGAAAAAGAATAAGTTACAATTTAATGGTAAAAGAATGACCAAATTTATATGTACTTTTGAACACCTCTAATGGCATAAATACAATATGCTCAACAAAGAAAAATAAAACTAGATATTTAGGTGGCAGTTGGATATAGAAAAATTTTCAAGAATTTCCACAATAGACCAGAACAATCCTTTATGGGATCGATTCCTAAAAGCAGAGTTCACATTTTTTTGTCATCAAGATGCAAATGGAAACAAAAAAAAAAGTTAAAAAACAATATTATTCATTTCATCTCAGTTTTTCTCTACAATTTTACTAACATAATTAAAGAATAGAAGTCAACCATTATTATATAGATACCAAAAAAAAAAAAATCTTTTCACTCACTCAAACATATCATAATACAAATCATTACCAATATTATTAATGGCGGATGGCAGTAAATGGCGGCCTATGGTGCCGCCATAAATGCCATCCTTCACAAATTTAACCTGGCGGTGGTCAAAAATCCGCTACACCTTGCCGCCATTTGATAACACTGATCATTACGAATTAAGATTTTCTTATTTTCATATCGCATGACTCTCAGCATTACATTTTTTTTTCTTATATACATTCGCAATCTCAAATATTCCATTTTACCTAAAATCAACTTTTTNAGACCCATAGGGTAACCTTTTGAGTACATAAAAATACTCAAGGTTGTACAGGGTCTCAATTAGAAACATACCCATTATCCCTCACTGAGCGCCTTAGCGCAGTTCTAGCTTCACCAGGCCTTCCTTCCTTCCTCTTCTCCATCTCGCGTGCCTGAAAAATAAAACTAATTCTAACGACTGCCATAGGGGAAGCAGAAAAGGTAAACAAACAGCATATAGAAAAAAGACACCAACCTTCCACTTAAATCTATCATCTAACATGCTTCGTTGCGCTTCGGTAAGCTTCCCAACATATCTCCAAATGTCATCACCTAATGTTATTTGCAAGGCGGTTAAAATAAAAAAATGTTCAACATTAATTAATGCTCATGATGTCATTTGCATTCATAAGGAAGATAAAAAAAAATACTCACCTAAAATTTTATATCCTATAGCCAAAGTATTTAAAGCAGCTTTCCTGGTATCACCATCTCTCTCTGCAGTTAAACTTGCTACAATTTGCAAGGATTTTAATTGCCCACTTATCTGACAAGAGAAAAGGAAAACTTCAACATGTAGAGAAATGGAAGAGCAGTAATTATTATAACATAACAGTAGTGATAATTACCTCAGCACCATAATTATCCAGTAAGAATCCAACAAGATCAGCACATTCTATTCTTGTTCTGTTGTTTCTAGAACGCAGGCCTTCCAAAATATAGGGAAATGTTTTTGCAGCAGAATATGAGTGAATAACTTTCTTCATCAGTTCCCGCATTTTTTCTCGAACCTTTTCAATGTTATGTCCAGCCTGTAGCCAAAAATAAACAATAAAAACAAGTCAAAAAAAAAAATATCAAATATTTACACATAAAGATGCAAGAATTGTTGTCAAACATGGAAGATGGAAATCAGTCAAGTTCACTAAACACATAGACAGAGAGAGACCAACTAATCTAGTTGGAAGAAACCTCAAAAACTAGGTTGCCAACTAAAAGATTGAACAAGTGCTAGAAAAGGAAACACGTCTGGTACAAGTTACCATTGTTATTACCTTCTCAACCAAGCAAGGAAGAAAAATGGCTGCCTCTGCTTCAGTCATTGTGTAGCCCTCATTCCTTAACATGTCCAGGAGTTCAGGAAGAAATTCCAGCACCTTATTAACAAAAGAAATAAAATGAATGGGGGAGGCAAGTTGACTGCAATAATACAGAGAATAATGAAAAGCACCCAGTTAGGCTAATTGTATAATATCATACACCTGAAAATTTCGTATTTAATTATTTATTGTATATTTTACTCATACCCAGTCTTGCACAATAAACAAAAGTTCACTTCAAAAGAAGCGGTCATTTAATATCTTCAGAAATACAAATGGTTATGACTGGGTAAGCATAGACCAATGTCTCCAATGCGTATCCCATACAAATACATTCATTAATTGACAAACCTTTAATAAGCACGATGTATTGGACTCACAGAACCTCAAAACAAACCACCTCAAGAGTATATCAAAGACTTCAACAAACTCCCTTCCCATAGATGGAAGAGCCTGAAAAGCCAAAAATGCAAGGTTAAAATGTGCACATTCAGATGCCATGTTAAAATAATCTTAAATTAATATTTAAAAAAAAAAACCTTCTGCAGCATCTCAATCCCATCAACTTGCTTCTTAAAGTCAGTGCTTAACAGCCTTCGATGCAAATCCTCTCTGAAATACCTCATGACATCATTCTGTCAAAAAAACACAGAAAAACACACGGTAACATTTACTAACATTTCAAAGAAAACAGCATTCACATCATCACAAGAACTGGCCTTCTTTTAAGCACCTCTTTCATCAAGCTTAATAATGATACACTTTTTGTCCCATTTACTACAGCAAATCACGTCTAAAACCAATATAATCTCTTTTCATTTTGACAAATATGGGCCCCTTAATTACAATACGAAACCATGAATGTAGATAAAGGACAGAACATAACCACAAACAACAAATGGTCAATAACCAGAAACCTCAAGATCTTGAATTTGCTCTAAACGTAATTCCTCAAACTTGAATCTGCGGACAACCATTCTTTCTCTATCATCCTGTACAAGTACTCATCCAGTTTACATCTGCTGCATCCATTGAGATTAACTGATGCATTTTGTGTCAAATGGAATACGGATGACCATACCTTGTTTGAGTCCTTAATATTAAACAAAGCTTGTGACTGAATGTTGATGTCTTGAATAGACATCACAGTCTCTTGTCTTGAACCCTTGGTAGGAACAGCTCTCTGTAAAATCAGGATACTAATAAAAAAGTATGTAAACACAAAATACTAAGCAATTTAATAACATGAAAGCATACTGAAGGCGCAGCTCTGGTTCCATGCCGTGATCGGTCACCATAACCATTGGATTTCCCGAACTTTGAGGTGTTTTTTGATGATACACTTGCTGAAATTGATCTACCAGATTCGATGCTTTCTGCAAGCCAACAAGCAGCCTAACAGTTTAATAAAGGGATTGCAAGCCAAAAACACCCTTATCTTTAGGGCAATGGTTTTGGTACATAGCATTAAGGAGATACCATGGAATGCCCCATGATGTTTCAGCCTTTCAACAACAATAGCTAAGGCAGAGCCTTGTATATCTTTCAAATTCTTCATCACCTATGAAAGAAAAAACAAAAATAGGTCACTGTGCTTTTAGTGGGAACACTACTCTCAAAAGTCAGCCGAATACAAACCATATCTGGTCCGCACACCCTCAATACTTCAGTAAAGCATGTTTCAGCAGCTTTACGAACATCTGCCGATTTATCCTAGACGTTTAAACAAAAGCATCTCGTGAGAAAATCTCGAATAGAGGCTAATGATAATCCATAAGGATTAATGAACAAGTTCAACTTTGCTGCAGAAGTACCGTCATAGCAGAAGCAATCGGTTTAAGCAGCTGAACAGCATCAGGAAAATCAGTTAATCCACCAAGTTGTCTGGACAACCAGTCAAAAAGATCCCTGCGCCCTTCTGCACCAAGCTTAGCATCCGTGAGAGCAGCTGTAACATAAGGGACCTAAAGGAAAGTGACTACGAAGTTAAAAAAAATATATGAAGTTAAATGGAAGGAACTGGTTGTAGACTTGACGAGAATAAGTATTGACCATTTTATCAAGATGAGCAGCTCCAAGCCAAGCGTCTAAGGTACTTAATGTGCACTCTCGCATGTGCTTCTTATTGTCACCAAGACACTTCAAGATATCTGACAAAATACCCTGCATGAACAACAAATATAAAAATTATGTAACAAACCTTTAATTCATCATACGGAAAAGAGAGTTACAAAACCGAACCTTGCTCGCCTTCTCAACTGGCTGGCCCATAGCAGAAGCAAGAGCACCAATTGTGTTCAAGGTTGCCATGATTAAATTTTTGTTGCTATCGTGCAAACGATTTCGTAGAGCTCCAAATAAATCTCCTGGAAGTAAGAAATGTAAGGGAGCACATTACATGAAATTCCAATACTTCATAAATCGATCAGTATGTGCGCTATCTACCAGTTCCAGTGGGTTGAATACGCTTGTTGGCCTCTTCCAGTATTTTATTCACAGTTTCAATGGACTCCAAGCGTATCTAGGACAAACATGAAGTCAGCGTGACTAGAGGTCTAGAAGTAACTAAATATGTTTACAAGCTTGATGCCTGTGTATCAGTGTATGTCGATATATATATTCAATACCTTCCAGTCTGAACTCTCCAGGCCCTTCAACAAGGTCGGAGTGATCTTTTCACTAATATCTTCACGTGGAAGACCATCCACTCCACCAGCAGCCACGGATGATGTAGAATCAGTTACTTTCACAGTCTTCTTTGGAACTGCAGATGCTCCCTGTGCGTAATGATATTAAGGTGGTAAGGTCATCCACATAGATTCAAATTTTCAGATGTAAAGAGAACAGATTCTATTTCAATCAAACTTACTTCAAATGGATTTTTTTCATACTCAGCATCAAGAGCACTTAGCAGAGCAGGTTTAACATCTGAGAGGAACGCCTTAATATCTACAAGGGTGGAAGAGAATGCTATTAGAAACGTGAACAGAGCATGGTAAAACAATGTAAGGTAACTTGTATTACCTGGTCCAACAAACTTGTGTAGAGAACCAATTAGCTTAACTGTAGCATTTCTAGTTGCAGCAGCACTAGACTGTAAACCAATATCCTTGCAGAAATCAATTAGATCCTGCAAAAGAAACATAAATCTTAGTATCATTTGCCAAATTATCATGTTATTTTAGAAGAAAACAAATCACAGGAAAACTACAAGTTTGTGCAAAGAGTAGTGCACACCTTCAGTTTGATAAAAGAAATACCAAAGTCCTCCACCGCGGAAACCATCCACAACAAGCCTTCACTAAGGACCTTGGGATTCTTGTGATCTTTCATAATTGTATACAGCTGAAATCAGTCATAACAAGACAATGAACAAACATGTTGATAAAAAGAGAGAAACAATACAAAATAAAATGAGGCGTTAAACATGTCAATACTAGAAAATGAACAAATACAACAGCTCACACTCCCTGAAGAAAACCACCTCTTGCCATGATTCATATATAGTTCCTTATGTCTGACTACCAACAACTGAAGACACCATCAGGCAAAGTCATTGTCATAGGATTTCAAACAGAAGGAAGAGCATATCGATTTCATTGTTCATTTTCATCATCTCCATAACATGTCATTTGAGAACCACCCGTGGAAGTTCTCTTCTAAATTGCCACAATTAACGACCCCCCTCAAAGGGGACCAAAAAATAATACTCAACTACTGCAATATGTTGCAGTAGATGACACGTGGTATGTCTACACACCTTAGTTTTTGCCAAATTGATCGGCAATGTCATCTATTATCAATTTTCCTTCATATGGGCACAAAACTTTACAACTGTGACTTATCACAATAATTGTGGTATCCAAATACTTAAATAGGTTAAATAACTGATTTCTTTCCTTTTATAAAATAATTACCCTACGCAACCATAAAATAGGGGATATGAGATGTTTATGGGAAGAAAGAACTTACCCTCTCAAAAATAAACCCTGGGCCCACAGCCTCACAAAAGGTAGTAAGGCACTTCATGGCCTGAGCACGAGTCTTAATGTCAGCCACTCTCTCGGTAATGCCTGTCAACAAATCAAAACTGTTGAGGCCCTAAAACTTTCATTCCTAAGTACATTAAGAAACAACAACCTCGTCATCTAAATTTCCAAAATGCCCCAACTTATATATTTCTCTAGCTACCACCGAACAGGTGCAGATAAGAAGAAAAAACTAGAAAACCAAGAGAAATTAATATAACCATATATCACGGCATTGACATTAATGTAGTAAAATCATGCGAGTTGCCGACCTAGTATGCAAAGCACGACACATTTTTTGGGGAACTTCGACGATGTTGAAGCTATGTGCGTAATGATATCAATAACCTGTTGCTGGACCTGCTCATCAACAACTTACAGTGGATGAGATAACAAATCCATGTACTAAATAAAAGAACCATTAAACATAAGTTTGTGCAAACAAACTATACCTGTACATTCTTCTCATTCCATCCAGGAACAGCACAAAGTAAACGGACCAAAATCTCAACAGATGAATCAAGGTTGTTTAGTGCTTCAACCTGCTCTTTGAAAGACAAAATAGCTGCAATGGAAATTTATGAGTTACAAATCAACCCAGTGTCTCACAAGAATAAACAAATTTTAAAAGTGGCAGTTCATTTCAGAAATTACTTCAAAGCTAAAGCAAATAGGTAAGAATGAATGTAATCATGATTATTCATCTAACTCCATGACAGCTTTGGACTACCAAAGGATCAAGTAAAGAATCAGTAGCACTTGNTTGAGAAAATCTCAATTCTTCATTCACGAAACCCAAGTCCTATTGCACATTTTCCATGAAAGTAATACACTATACACACACACACACACAGAGAGAGAGAGAGAGAGAGAGAGAGAAGGATTTAGGAGGTAAAGGAACCATAAGCATTCTCACAATAGGAAAAAGAAGGTTCATACTGACAAAAGGCATGAATTCAAAGCTCCGCAAGCAACAAGTTTTGTCCATAAACAGAGCATAAGAAAAAGAGACCTACTTGACCAAATTCTGTATAGCTAATAAAGTAGCATTAATTAAATGGTGTAAACCTTCAAGCCGCTCTTTCCAAACAGCACTCTTTAACTGAGTAATTGTATCTGCTTGTACAAGGGATCCTAATCTGGTTTCGATCTCTTCCAAACTCATTTCTGATGGCTGTAAAACCAAGTGGATCAGGAAAATAAAATATAAAGGGATGCCCAGTAGTTGTCATAATAGAAAGAGTGAAATGCAGGCATGTCAACTGTTACCTCAATTTCTTCCTGTTCCACGGGCTTAGGAATTTTTGATAGTCCTCCATCAATTTTCTTGTTGGTACCAGATTTCCCTGATGCCGTTTTCTTGGACGCCACAGGCTTAAAAACCAGAAGCATAGTTTAAAAAAGAGTCAATAGTCATTTACCATGCATCAGTTGGAGAATAAAATTTTGCAGCAGACTGATTTCATTTTTTGCAGAAAGTATGTCTACCATGGCAAACAGTAAGAGAGAATCAAATAATTACACAACTTACAGCTGCATTAATAGGCTTCTTCCCACTGAGCATGCTAGCTGCTGATCTTCTAACAAATGATCCATCTGAGGCCTGCATAAAGGATAAAGAAGAAAACGTTAACAAAATGGAAGGAAAGGTTAACAAAATGGCTAGTCCAAAACAATGTGTAGCCCATTGAATCTCAATCTTTTCGCCTTAAAGCAATTTGTAGAAACAGAAAAGGGCAGACAATTGTCCATCAATTTCCAGAATCTTTTCTTAGAGAAACAGCCTATGCTCAAAAGAGTATATTTCCTTTTTTTTTTTTTCCTTTTGCAGCATCAACTGGGAGGAAAGAGAATTTTCTTTTTGAAGGACTATTTGCTCCCAAGCTAACTGGTCACCCTGCTCACTTATGAAGTGAATCCATTTTTAAGTAAAATAGTTGGAAAGCTATTTTAGCATATAACCTCTACTGACCTCGGTACTAGGCATACTTCCTCCAGATAATTGAGCTGCAGCTGACATTATTGTAATGGGATGTTAGAAAAATGTAATCAGTAGTAAGCATCAACAAGAATCACAATGGATAACTAGCACTAAATCCAAACCTGAGCTAGGAACAGTGGATGGGTCCCCTGAACCCACAATCATTTCAGATAACTTTTTTTTCCTAACATCATCCAACTTCTCCAAAGACTTCTCTAAGGGTCTCATACCAACCATCTACATAAAATTGTTACACAGTAAAATATATCAGTCATAGAAAGTGAGACACTCAACAAGTAGACAAACAAAGATCCTGAATATTATACCTTAGCAACAGCTGCCAAAGCTGAGAAAGCTGCATCCCTGACTTCAGGTGTCCCATCATTAAGGCACTGCATAATCCAAGAAACTCAATAAGAGCTTGATCGGGAAATCAGAGAGAAAAAGAAAAGTTATTAAAAAAAAGAAACTCTTGAAGCGTTGATAGTAGCTAAAGCCTACAACAAAATAGCTAAAACCAAATAAATCAGAAGTAAACCAAGTTCACCCAATTTCCTCTTTTTTATCGGTAGGTTCACCCAATTTCAATTTTGTACAGCATGAACATAACAGATACTATGCATAATCAACTACATATAGTATTAGCACTAATTACCAATTAAAATCACTTAAATAGAACCAGAACATGTCTCACTCACATCAAAGAAAATGATTAGTAAATAGTAAGTAAAACCAATGTGACTGTTGAACGTTACTGGATACAATTTCATTTGGAATTTTTTTTCTATATGAGAAAAAAAACTATGAAAATGTGAACGGAAATGTAATGATTGAAGATGGTTTGAAATGGAAGTAACAAAACAATGGTTGTACGAGATAGCATGCAGATTCTGTCATATTTTCACTCACCTCCATGCAGATTGGAACATATTCCTTGTGCACTTTAATTATAGTAGCCTTGTTGCTCGTCTCAATACAAAACGTAACCCAATTCATCGTCAATGACCTCACTAGAGGAACTTTATTTTTTACTGCTGTCTTAATATCTGCAAGACAGAAGTTCGTTCTTAAGGTTCCTCATATAAAAGACCTCACTATGCAAACATCGAATAATTTGTTGAAACTTTGCAAAGCTGATCTACATTCGTCAGAAATTGAGACACAGCGATCCCAACCAACAACACAATATAGACTTCAAATAACATGTAAATGCACCTCCAATCAATAAAATAATACAAAGGAAAAATGATGAGTTGAAACAATATCATGAATTAAAACATAGAAGGATACACGACAAGAACAAAGAGCTAGAGGTGCACAAAATATGGTTAACCGACCGAAACCGAAACCAAATATTTCGGTTTCAGTTTTATGTTTTTTTAGCATTTCGGTTTTCAGTTCAGCTTGGATAGAAGTGCTTGGTTAACCGAACTGAACCGAAAATCGATTATTACATAAATTTACAAAGCCCAATAGAATGATATCTTATCCACACCCAAGCCCATTTTTAAGCTCGTTGATATAAAAGAATTTAGAAGAAAATACAAAAGCTGACTAGCTAACCTAAGCCCAATTTTTTTCCCTATACAAATAATAAAATTAAAATAAAAATACAATAGTCTAGCTTAATCACTTATACCAATTCAGCAATTCTCAAAATATGCTCATCTCCCACAACACTCCGTATATTTAATCATGTGTGTATATATATGAGACTTGATATACTTGGGACACCTAGTGTGGTGTGTATGAAACTTGACAGACTTGTTTTTTTGGGCAAGTTATCTTTTTTTTTTTACGCCTTTTAGTTTGGTTTTGTGAAATTATTAATTATCTACCTATTTTTATTTTTGTAACTCATGACTTGTAATTTTTTTTTCATTTTTCTTTTTTCTCCACTTTACCGGCTAACCGGTAACCGAACCAATCCAACCAATTGATTTTCGGTTTGAAATCGAACTGAACCACAAATTTCAGTTTGGTTTTCGGTTTTCATGTTGGACAATCAGTTCGGTTTCGACCGATTGAACACCCCTCTAACTCATGAAAGGTAAAGTATGATTCAGAACTTGCAAAACAAGTTGAAGAAATAAGGACTATTTGCAATAATAATCAAAAACATAAATATATCTTGCCTTCAACAATGTCAGCGAGGTTCAAGCATCCAGACCTGTGCATTGCCTGAAGAGTTTGTGTCAATGCCTCTGTCATAGTAGGCTTCTTTTCCTTCAGTTTTTCCTATAAATAATTTACGATCAAACACACAGTAAGTAAGCCCTGATAGAGATCAATATAGCTATAGGAGTAGATACTTATGCCTAGGGATGATGGATAGACACATTCACATCATCCAACAGCACAATTAAAAAAATGTAAAGCTATAGGAGTTCCAACAGTCTAACTATATTTCTGAGTCTGCCTCTCTCCTAGGACGTCCCTCCATTATAATAATAGATTTATCTGAATCTTCTCCAATTGAAAACCACCAACCCCCTCTCCAGGCTTGTTTATCTAAAATACAGAATTAAAAAATGCTAAAGTGTAGGTGTAAGAACCTTCTAGAAATCCTCATGACCAAGCAAGCAAATAATATGAGCACTACTTTATAAGCAAATAAAATCATAAGTAATATACTTACCAGTAAAACAGGCAATACAAAGCGAGAGCTGGCTGAGAAATGGGTTCTCAGACCCTTGGCAAGATTTGCAAGAGCTTGAACAGCCTCAACTGCAACAGCAATGTTTACATCTGTAATAAGCTGCAAAAGTCCAAAAGCATAGTGTAATTACTGTATTTGTCAATTTTATTTTATGTATATTCATTCCATTACTCAGGAGATAGCACATGAACACAAGATAGAGATAAGAAATAATACATTTACATCACTAAGCTCTTATAGAAAAGCACAGGCTTTAATGCACTCCATGATAAACACAATAATTTGATTCAAGGCAAACTTGTTAAAACTTCTTTTAGGACGATTTACTCAGAACTTGTCATATGTGCTTACGGACCCAGGCCTCTCTACATGGTTATACCAAATCCAAATAGATTTCATTGAAAACTACCAATTGTCATTGTGTATTTCATAACTTCATCCTCAAATGTCTATGTTTTCGATTTATCCATGATTCATCTCAAAGGAGTAAAACAAAACCAATTCACATGTCCAATTGTTTTCTTTTTCTGCATCATGTACTAACTTTCTGGCACCATTGCGACAAATATTTTAGAAATTTATGAACCAAAACCATGAACCATAACAATTCTCATCACAGTATTAATCACGTTTATGTAGATATTCAAGAAAGCAAAATAATGAGACTCAGATAATGGTTTACATGTAAGTTACTTATTTCTGAAAACAACAACCCTCAATATGAATAGATCTATTGCTGACCTTCTTTAATGTCCGACAAACTTCCGAAAAATCTCCCGGAGCAATCTTTTTAGTAGATGCAAGTTTGGTTAGTTCTGCAACAGCCTCTTTCCGTTCAGACCATTTGGCAGCTTTCTGAAGTACACACAAAATAGCAAACCACTGGTAAACTTACCCACCAATATACTAATACAGTGATACATGACATCAGCGCAAGGTTACAATGTCATGTGAATATTGATAAATATTTATAATTGTACATAGCCTACTAACCACTCCTTCCCAAAATCCAGATTTCTCTAAAGGTGTCAATATATCAACTGGATCAACAAGTTCATACTCATCAATCTCTTGTGGCACTGAAGGAGAAAAAATGAGTCAGAACAGGAAAGGATAATTATATGACACGCACACGCCTAATAAAATAGATAAAAATAGAAGCGATCATCATTTATCAATGCCAGCTCATATTTTATCAATCTTAAGCTGCTTGGATAAATAACAATGCTCAATGAATACCCTCAGCTGCACTGTCTTCAGCAGGCCCCAATCCCGCTGCTACAGGAACAGCTTCTGGTTCAGGTTCCTTGTCTTGCTCGGACCTGATATAACAAGTACAGTAAAAATTAACAAAAAAAATATTTATCTGAGGTTTGATGTCAAAAAAATTAATACAGAGTAGAAGTAAATTAATACTTAAAAATATAGTCCAGCAGAATCAACAACCATCTCTTGTGCATTTTTTATGTACACATGAAACATTAAAACCTTATAACGCTCAGCAAAGTGTTATATTGTAGACAAGAGAAATTCATCAGAATCTACGAACTTAAGATTCACACCCCAGAATGGAGATAGAAACACGTATAAGCGATATCTGTAAAACTAGGGGGTGTATTCGTTAGGGTTTTCTAAAGACTTTGTAAGACTTCAAAAATCCTGGTGTATTTAATTTAGACTTTTGATGACTTTTAAAAGTTTCGAGGTATTTATTTGAGAATTTAAAAATCTAACAAAATTCTAAGGTATTTAACTTGATTGACACTAGTATTTGTTAAGACTTTTTAAGATTTGTTGGATTTCAAAAAAAAAACCATATACGAAATCACACTCCAAATCTCACTTAAGATTTCATAGGATTCCTCCTAATCGAAAAACTTAACAAGTCTCAAAGCTCAAAATGTCTCAAAATGTCACTCAAAAAATCCCAAACGAATACACCCCATACTCTAAGAAAGTCTAGTCAAATTTTCTTTCTTTTTTTTTCGGTCAGGGAGAGAGGGAGGGACCTGATTTTACGTGTGGGCTTTGCTGTTCCAATTACATTCGCAAGCTCAGCCTCCAACTCTTTTTTCTTAAATAGACAGGACGTAAAAGGATAAGAAGTTAGCAAAAAATTACCAACATATCACGTGGAGAAGAATTCAGTGCAACTCTTAAATTAACATACCATTGTATCTCGCATTTTTTCGAACAGTATAGATTTGACAGGATCTTTTCCTATCCAACGGCAAAGCTCTAGTGTCAGGCCTTTCGAAGAGGCACGAACATTCTGATCTTGATGGTCAAAAAGTTCCGGAAGCATCTTCAACATTCTTTTTGGTGGTATTATCTTTGACCCAAATTCACTGATTCATTATCCATCATGTCAATGCAAAGACAAACCAAAAAGAAAGACATGGAGGCAACAGTAATTAATCACGCACCTTAACGCCTGAAACATGACATCTATTGCCGGGACTACAGCTTTAGCAACTTTGTTCTTTATTGCCTTCTCCATAGCATCCTACAAAAAAAGTAGCTCTTGAATTAGGAACAGAAAAGTACAAATCCAACTTCGGAACTGCCGACCACAAATCAAAGGTAAGCAAAACTACAGTAAGAGGTGCAGAAAGATAATTTCACATCTGAGCAAGAAAAATAAGCAAATCAAGTGCAATACACAAATTTTAAAAGTCATTTGAATAAATGAACAACATGCATAAACCAGCCAAAAAACAAAGGCCACATTATCGACATTCTGTTCATTTCGCACATGTTGACCTCATGAAAGTCATTCACATAATTAATGGGAAAAGAATGTAATTAGTCTCATTACATTCGTTCAAAATGCTTTCTCAATTCAATTTTGTTCTAAAAGCAGAAATGAAGGTATAGTTCACTAACTCGACGCTGGAGACTTATGGGAAATCTTGCAACCTAAAGACAAGTGTCTTGGCTATCATTCAGAAAACACGACTTGCCGGATATCTCCAAGTTCTTAACTTCCCTAGAGGCTAAAGATAAATGAAGATCCTAATAATGGATCAAGACCAACAACACAATAACTGATATGCGCATTGCTTTAGCAAGTTCGCTTTTACATTTTAAGTAACCATTGTAAACATATACTAGGGTTGCTTCAGCGTGTAGTTTGCCACAGTTCCAATGATATAAAGTTTTCAGTATTTCAGAAGGCCAGTAGCAACCAAATTTATTGTTGTTCAAATGGCATTGATGCCTTAAAATTGAAACATACCAGGAAAGGTTCAACGGCCTCCAACTCTACCCAGAGCATAAATGCCATCTGTGCCTTTTCTACTGTTTTGGGCCTTCCAGTCAGGCATTTTGCCACTATTGCATCGCATACCTCCTTTGCGTATCTAAACCCAGCAGCAAACCCAAAAAGAAAAAATAACATACCAATTGAAAAAAAAAATGTAGAGTGAACTTCAAAGGTAATTCAAATGAAAATAACTTTCAGATAATGAACCTTCCAGAATCAGCATCCGCAGCTTTCAAAAACGCAATGAGGGCGTCCAGAGCTTTCTCCTGAACGGGAGCATTGGAATCCGCCAGGGTCTTCCGGAAAAACGGACCTAACCAAAGTACAGGAGGATAAAAAATTTGAAAACAAACGTAAACAGAACATGAATCCGCACACATTAAACCCAACTCGTTTACTATTTCCCTAACAGATCAACCACTGCACCATCGAGCATCAAACGAAATCAGATCTACGCGAGAACCAAACTAAGTTTCTCACCGAATTCACGGAGCCGCGGGTCCTTGGGATCAGATATGGAGTCGCAGACGGCCGCCAAATCAATATTCGCGTCATTTCTCACCTTCCAATTCTTGTGCGTCAGGCGATCCTCCCACGGCAATTTCTTCGCCTCCTTAAGCAACTTCTCGTCCTCCGACATTATCCAAATTTAGGTCGATAAAATGTGTAATTCAAATCCGGGGATGCGAATTGAACACGACGACGACGCCGTATCGCTGCTTTCGCCTTCTCAAAGTTTGCCGTTAACTAATATTTTGTCGGCCGAGCGCCGGCGAGTCTCGATTGAGGGTTGAGTGGGTAGGGGCGGGCTGCGTACGATTAATCTAAAAGAAAAATGAAAAAGAAAACAGAGGAGAAACAGTAAGGAAAACTAGTTTTATGTTTTACGTTTTATGGCGAGTGGGGAGCGAAACTTCTATTTTAAATATCAATGGGTGCGGATATGGAAAGTCTACCACGTGGGCGATCCAACCGCTGTAAGAGGGTCGTGTAGTTTAGACTCCTTCGGAGCGCGTGGTTTTACAATGTTTTGGTTGAGCGGTGCTATTTGAAGGGGGCCTGAGCAGGGGCCCACAGCTGGGTAGGGAGCGGACAGAGACAAAGTGCTCGCAAAATAGTTGCAATTTCAAATTATGTCTCTGAGGGTTAAGATTGCCTGCGCGAGCTCCACGTAATTCGAATTTCAGCCACCGTTATATGGTGAATTCAAATGGGGTCTTGAGGCCGTGAAGTTGTATTAACCGTTGATTATAAAGAAAATGTGATCCATCGAACGTGAGGTGACCGCACAACATTATTATTTCCCTTTTATGGAGACGGCGGTTTAAATCACGGTATTAAACGGCTACTTTTATTTAAATTAATGAATACTAATACAATACTAGTGTAATATACGGATACTTAAATATATTAATATTAATATTTATAGAATAAAAATTAAAATAATTTACAATTTTATTATGAAATTATGTATGATAAATATGTAACAATATTAAATAACTAACAAAGTGGTAATTAATTCATTCTATCTTTCCTAAGAGCATGTTTGTTTATAAAAAATTTTCAAAAAATTCTCAACATTTTAACTCAACCATTTTTTTTAACTCAATTTTAACTCAACTCCACTATTACCAATATTATTAATATAATTAAATAATATCAATCAATCATTCATACACACCACATCAACCTTAATTCACTATTCATCCACTCACATTATTTTAACTAATCATTACTTCAATCATCTATCTTCTACTTTCGCATCAAATCAATTTTAATTATTTTATTTTAAATATTATTTTAATATACTCACTAACAACTAACAATACTATTTTTTCCAAAAAATCAAACTAAACCAAAAAATCCAACCAAAACTAAAATTTTTCCATAAACAAACATGGTCACCACCTTTTTAAAATAATTTACAACTTTATTGTGAAATTATGTACCTATGATGAATATGCAACAATATTAAATAACTAACAAAGTGGTAATTAATTCAAATGGTGCCCATATTGGTACACTAAATTTGCCAAAAAAATATATTTTTAATCATATTTTTAAGATTATATATGTATAAAGCTGATATTGTTTACAACTTCATATATTTGATTCGTTTTTTTAATTAAACAAAACAAGTTTTATTGTGTTGTGGTTATATTTTATATTAATAGATTCAATGTCTCACGTTTATTAATTTTTCAAGTATTTTAAATTCACATAATTAATAATTTAAAATTTATGTAGAAATGTATTATTTATTAACTTTATGAAATACAAAATTATTTTATAATATTTAATCATGATATTTTTTTATATTTACTCTTTTAAATAACATAATAACATTCAATTACAAAGAACATTCAAAGAAGAATAACTCTGAAACCTCAAAAAAATGGTAAATTGCGAAAATCGAAAGGAGAAGACTTACTCATGATTAAAAGTTGAACGGATCGGAGACGAATTGGAAGTAAAAAAAAAAAGGTTGTAGGAGTTGCAGTACGTCAAGGGTGCTAAGAAGTTTTTAGAGTTCAGAAGTGATTGAAAGAGCAAAAGTATGAAAATAAAAATAAGGGGAGTATTTATACTCGATCCCTGGCATATAGACCCTTAGATCAGAAGGAATTGAACCGATCAGATTGGGCGCGAAATTCGAAGAGGCAGAATGCGAAAGGCCACATCTTTCAAAATTCAAATTTTTATGACATGTGTCAGAATTTGTCAGAAGGAGTTCAACCGTCAGATTTTACTCCGAACCTCAAGGCCACTTAAAGTAAATTTGGGGGGAGGGGGAGGGGGGCAGATGATATAGCCATATATAAGTGGATTGGAATATTACAAATGTAAGGAGCTCGACTAAAATAAAAGGCGATCGGAGTAAGTCATCTTGAAGGGAGATTAACGAGGATAAGACGATCTCGAGTTGCCGATTAACTCGGCAGCTCGAGGTTAACGTAAGGCAACCTGGAAGTAAAAAGACTACTTGAGGGACAACGACCTAAGATGAAAGGATCTCACATGTCTCGTAGGAGGACATCAGACGACCCGACCCTCGGGCTATGGATTAAGTCGACTTCTAACACCAATGACGACCTAATTCACTCCACAACCCAAGGTGGACCACGAAGCAGATAGTCCCAAGAGAAACTACGACCTAAGGTAATCAGATAAGAAAGAATCTTAAAGGGATAAGAAGGAATGTTAATGGTGACTAGGAGATGACTAAGAGATGATTAGAATATGAATAAGCATCAAATCCGAGCCTGGGCAAAGCATTTCGGGCAGGTATTTCTCTATAAAAAGGGTTGAGGTATCACCAAACCCCAACTTTACATTCTCCATACATTATACTGCTCTTATTTATATAGCACCATCATCTTTTTCTTGAGACTGACTTAGGCATCGGAGGCTCTTCGCCAACAACCCCTCCAGCATTGAGTTCTTGTAGGTACACGCGCGGCGGTTTAGGCAGATCGGAACTTATCTCATCCAGTCTTATCCAGATCCAGGTGTGACTCATATTTTTCCTCGACTAACCTCTACTAACTAGTAGTAGTGGTGAGCAAGAGTGGATCCCACGAGGAGTGTGAATCAAATTGTAAATTTTCTCGTATTAAAATTGAAATTATAAAAGCAATTAAAGAGGGGAGGATTGATTTGGTAACTAAGATCCTAATTAAATAAATAAAATCTAAACACATAAAATAAAAATAAAGTAGAATAAAAAGAAAATTTTCTAGTTCACAATTCCATCTACGCCCTAGACCGACTCATCTAATTAATTTTAGTATCAAATTTCATTATATTGTAGAATTACTAGCCCTAGATAACAATATGCTCTGCTACCCAAATTTTTCCGTACTGTTTATTTAGTCGAGAAACACTCTTCTGTTAAACCTGACTTATTGGACAGCCTAGAATACGCTTTCTAGATTTAATGCAATCGCCGCTTTAGAATCTAGTAAAATAGGCTAGTCTAAGTAGTAAACACAACCGCGCGCACTTAATTAGGTCGTGTAATCCCCGACAGTTACCGACTTTCGGTTGCTACTTACAAATTAAACGCAACAACAATTACGGATTAAAGGTTTAACTGTAGCTATAGAGATGAAAATCTTAATCTAGGCGATCAATCTAAATAAGACTAAACAAATCTAAATTCATCATTCAAAATAACACGTACAATTACAAAAAGATGATAACATTATCAATCACGAAAATTAATCAGACATCGCCAAGTTCTTAGGTTTGACTTTCCCGAAACTAGAAATAAAAACTAGTCTAACATAATAAATAATAAAAAAAGAATAAAATTATCCCCTTTCGGGTGCGGGTGCGACTTCCCTCCGCTTCTGTCGGATTCCCTGTCTCCAAGTCCGTCGGCTTTTTTTCCCGTTCTCTATTCTCTATCTTTGCGTATGACTCTCTAATTCCCTCTCTCTCCGCCAAAATAAATAAATAAGGGCTGCCAAAGTCTTATTTCTGGTGGTTGCGTCTCCAATTAAATACTCTTGGCTACCCTCTCAACTTTGGAAAAATTTTATATATACGCAGGGATGTTATAATATTTGCAACAATAGAAGGGCTGCATTCATTTTACAAACTTACATAATGCATGGAATTTATTTGTGATAAAGTAAGATATCGGTTACCCCCAACAAATCGTCAAGTCTCCTTAATTTGCGGGATTACAAGATTGTCGTTTTCATTGGAAAAGAATGGAACAATTTATGGCAAGTGTATATATCCTAATGTATAGGATATTGTTCAGTTCAAAACGAGAGGATGTAGATTTTGTACGAGTATTCCTCATCTGCTTGTTTAGTGGGAGTATTTCTCATATGCTTTATATAAGTCCGAAAAATATACGAAATAAACCTGGTATTTTTTTTCTTTCGAAATCTTTTTTGTTTACCTTTTGTGTTATTTATATCTCGTTTTTTTTCTGTATATTTACTGTATATTTTCTGGTTTAATACATACGAAATATACTATAGAGATTATATACGGAAGATATACAGAATATATATTCATTATATACAGACTACATAAATAAAATACACAACAAATATACAGAAGATAAATCAATCTTGTCATTACATACAGAATATATGCAGAAGATATACCAAGCGCGGGCGATGAAAACATATACTCCATATAACACGCAAATGTTCATGTGTGATTTTTACACCATATTTATATAGTATCTAGAGCTTATTTATTGCATTATTTTGTTTTAATTCTATATCTTGTTGGAGAGGTATTACACGTGGTTGTATTGTAGATATTTTCACATATTTGTAGAGCTTTTGGCTATTGTAGGCGCATGGTGAGTACCTAAGACCCCCGGGATGATGCAAGATTGATGCACGGATGAAAAAAATGAAAGAAATGAGTGAAAAGAGCAAAAAATGAGAGTGCAGATTTGTGATACAGGTGATGACACGGGAACCATGCCCGTGTCAGAGGCCGTGTCACCTTAACTGGGAGATTTCGAGGCCTTTCATGTGACACGGGCTGCGACACGTCCCGTGACACGGGCAGAATGGCCGTGTCGCGAGCGCATGCTGTTTTTTGTATCTTCCCTATTTTGAAAAGGAAAAGAGTTTTGGACATTATAAAATGCATATTTACCCTATTTAGAGGGGAGAAAAACCTGATATACAAGAGGAGAACGTGGAACATAAGGAGAGGAGCCCTAGAACACACAAGAAATGCAATTGGGAAACAAAGGAAGATCCAACTACGAAAGAATCAAGAAGATTGAAAGATCAACAAGATTCCTAGTTTTTCTTTCTTCTTTCTTTTTAACTTTTATTAATCATGTCAATTTCTAATATGTCTATGTATTTGAATTCGAACATGAGTGACTAGTTTATTTGATTCTAGGACTTGGTAGTAGATTACTATGTTGGGATTTTGGATGATTTATTTATAATTGATTGTTTTCTTTTGAGCCTTATTCAAATATTTTGTTCTTATTCCATGTTTAGCACTTGGTCAATGTTTTTACATGTTTGACAATAATGTTCATAATTCGAGAGATGAGTTCAATATTAGGTCTTTAATATTTGACACAATTTACTTGCTTGAATCGAGAGATTAGTAGGTCGTTGTGAGGATATTAGATTTCTTGGTCTATTTGGAGTTGAATTGTATGTTTTGAGTGGAGACGTTAATATATGTGATCTAATCTATGATTTTATCGATCTCGAGAGGGAAGATAAGCTAAATTTGTGATCATCTTATACGGGGGATAAAGAAACCATTAGTTGTGATATTTTTTAAGGAACCCAACTATTAATTGAAACTACAGTCTTAGAATCTATCATTCTCATATATTTGTCTTACGTGTGTTTCTAGTTAATTCTTTGTTCTTGCTTTATTCTTTTTTCATTATCTTTTCTTCGTTTAGTTAATCTATCTCATATTCGGTCGTCTAAATAAAGTTGACACAATTATAATCTTGTACTTGATATTTAATTATTTGGTCTCTTGGGATACGACCTTGCTTGCCACATACTATGAGTGAAGCTGTACACTTGCAGTCGAGCTTTAAAAATATAGGCGAACATCAACATATACTGTCGATTGTGAGTTTAGGATGAATAATATCATCCCATCAATAACGCCATTAAAAGCTCCATCAACTCCCAATCCACGCGCCCACCTCCCCTTTCATGTGCGGCCGCCATCTCCACAATCAACTTTCATCGTCGTACGGTCTCAGAGAGTACATCAACAACCCATGAAATCGTCCGATCTGCCGCCAACTTCTGCGACTGAGAATTGTGCGACGTGGGGAAGGCGATGGAGTCCACCATCGGAAATCTCCCCAACCGTCGGAAATCGTCGCTCGTCCACCATCAGCACACTCGAGAAGCCGACGGTGACGAAGAACTTGGCAAAGCCATGGAGTACACCATCAGCATGCTCGATTTCTCCCTGCAGCAGGTTATCGAGAGAGAGAGAGGGATGGATGAGGAGGAGGAGAGAGAGGGACCATATAATTAGGGGTGTTACATATTCAAACCAACTTCTAGTATATATATGCAAATAATATAATAATTTTAGTTACTTTGTTAATAAATATATAAAGGTTGTAAATGTGCAATAATGTTGTAAATGTTTAGTAAACTATGCAATTTTCTCATAAATTTATAATGTCTTGGCTAATGAAAGCGGGTGGCCAATTAAAATCCTTTTAGACCCCATATCATAATACGGCCCAAGCCAAATATCCAACATGATGGGCTTTCAATGTTTCAACCAATCATCTTCTCTGTTTGGGCCTTTTGGGCAGAAATTTGGTAAGTACGGGGGTGCCTCATACTGGCCTGCTTCAATCTTTCTTCGTTTCGTCGTCCATAAAAATACTCCAATATCTTAAAAATAAAACTTAAAAAATATCAAAGCACTAGAATCCATCTAATAAATAAATAATTCGAAAAACATATAAATGCGATAAAATTAAGCATATAAAAATACGTTAATAAATATATAAAATACACTCGTTTTCCGACCAATCATCTGTTATTCAATTTTACCAAGGGTACGTGGTTTAAGAGGTAACCCTAACCAGCCCGTCGAATGAATGTCTTATTCGTCCCCGTTCTATATCAAACGAGTGGGGGTTCCAAATCTTTTTAGAAAATATTATCGATGTTTGCAAATATTATGGCACATATATTAGATAAACTAGTGCGTAGCTCGTGCGATGCACGGGCCAATAATATAAAACAGAGAAATAAAGAAATATTATTGATATAAGAACATTTTTAAAATATTAATATTTAATTTTTATATTTTGTTTTACATTTTACGATATATAATATTTTAATACAAAATTTATAAGTTTATGTTACCCGTTTTAAAATTTTTGTCATTTTAATTTTTTATAATCTAATAATTTACATGACAGATCTACAAATGATCCGTTGATTTATTATTTTAATATCATATATACTTAATCCTTGAATAATTGTTTACTTGTTTTTCTATAACTTTTAACATTATTTTTTTCAACTTGTGAGAGATAAACATAACAATTACTATTTTATATTATTTTATACTAAATCCATTTATTATACATACATTATATTTTAGTATGAATAACTTGAGACTTATTTTTTTAATTTTAAATCAGTATTAAATAAAATTTAAGTTCATTTTATATATTCACTATTAGCTAATAAACTTATGAATACCCTAAAAATAATTAATTCTTATTTATACCTACAATATATGTGACAAATTGAAGATCATAAAATGAAGGTTAATTTAGAATTATATACGAAAAACGGATAACAAATAAATATGTTATTAAGTTTTCAAAAGAAAATGACATTAATACTAACTAGTACGACACCCGACACCCGTGTATTACACGGGTTGTTTGAAAAAAAATATAAAACATAAAATAATAGAAAAAACACATGTTGTCATATAAAAGTGCAAATATAGAAAATACCAAATTCGATATTATTTCAAATTTTGAAGAAATTCTTTGTACACAACATTAATAGGAGATCATATTTACACGGCATATAAGAATCCTTGGAGTTGAAGAGGATCGGATTAAGCAAAAATCCTATTTATTATCAACGCAAATAAAAATCATTTCGACCAAGTCCACACGATCCAATTACTACAAAACAAAGCATATTTCTACATATATTAAAGAACTGATAGAAGAATTACTTTGAGACGAAGCTTGAGTAATGACAAGGAGATCAAAATCTTCAACTCCTTCCTTCAACCCCTTAACAACATCACGAACTACACTTACAGATACGAATATCAGATCCATGACCAACAAAAACTTATCGTGCCCCATTTTCAGTTCCCTACACAAAAGTGCAAAGAACAAATCACGACCTCAAACAAACAAACAGTAAATAGATACGTGGGCAGATCCAAAAACTGAATATCAAAAACCCATCATTCAACCCCTAAATACATTTACTGGTAAAACTACAATACGAAGAGGCAAAAATGGACCACGGCCGACAATTTGCCGCGAATCCATTTGAAATCGAAAAAATAAAGAGCAAAAAATAATTCATGAAAAGGGCATCGATCAATCACCTTCCAGATGAAGTGAAAGCCTCAAATCATGGAGTAGAAGCCGACCGCCGGCCCAATGAAAGCTACTCGGATTTTTCTCCCTAAAAAAAAAATGAATTTCCTGCAAATTCTGTAAGAATCTAATATATTTTTAAGTTAAAATAAAAGATGTTTTCACCAAACAAAAGCTATAAATTTCGTAAAACGAATTAATCAAACAAAAGAAATGACATTAACTTTTGAAAACTCATAAAAAAACGAATTCAGTTAAAAAGTGGCAAATTCACCAAATAAAAGCTATAATTCATCAGTGACTCGGAGCATTAAGCCGCCATATACAATAACAAGAGAAAAAATGAAAAATCAAATTCAACAAACCAAAATTAAAAATCAAGTAATTTATTTACCTTCAAAAGTTAAAAGTGACAAACGTAGACAGGTCGATGACGGAGAATTTCCTGCAAATTCTGTAAGAATCTAATATATTTTTACGTTAAAATAAAAGATGTTTTCACCAAACAAAGCTAAAAATTCCGTATCGTAAAACGAATAATTAAACAAAAGAGATGACATTAACTTTTGAAAACCCATGAAAAAACGAATTCAGTTAAAAAGTGGCAAATTCACCAAATAAAAGCTATAATTCATCAGTGACTCAGAGCATTAAGCCGCCATATACAATAACAAGAAAAAAAATGAAAAATCAAATTCAACAAACCAAAATTAAAAATCAAGTAATTTATTTACCTTCAAAAGTCAAAAGTGACGAATGTAGACAGGCCGACGACGGAGGTGGACCGAGAGGCAGACGATGGAGGCAGGCCGAATGGAAGATGTCGGAGGGAGGCGGGCGAGAGGTTGCGGCTTTACCGGCGTGAAGGTGAAGACCAAAAATATTGAGAAAGTAATCCGATTTGTTTCCGTTACAAAGATTAACCCAAAAATATATTATAAGAATCCTATTTATTTTTGGAGTTGGAGGGGATCGGATTAAGCACAAATTCTATTTATTAAGTATTTTATAATATTATAATATTAAACAAAAAATTCTATTTACACGGCATATAAGATAAGAATCTCGAATTAAGGAAAAATCCTATTTATTAAGTATTTTATTTCTGAATCTATTTATTTTAGAATGTAATTGTATTAATTTTTATTCAAACCAAAAGTCGAAGCATGTAATGTTGCCAAGTAAGTTTCTGAAGCATGCAAACCAGCAATTTAGGCTCAACATGTTTTGAAATTATATTAAGGAGATATAAAAAAAAAAGTAAAAAAAAAACATGCAACAATATTAATGATATATTATATTCAAATCATAATTGACGTACTATACACAAATGAGGAAGAATATGATTAGATTTTAATTTGTTGCGTAAAAATTAATGATTTGGACATTAGAAAATAATCTATATCTATATCTATGTCTATATAATGGGTCAATCCTTATTGTCATAATTGGCATGATTTTGGTCGAGAAATTTTTTCGTCTATATTTGGCATTTAATTACTATTTATTTATTAGCAAATCTTATACATGAAAACATAATGAATTTTTATACACTCAATGACTGTTACTAACTATAAATTAGCTTAAATTAAAATTTTGACTGTAGACTTATTAGATATATTTTCAATAAGATGTTATATTAATTTATAGTAATTTATTGACGCAATTCCAAAAACCATTATGGAAATTGATTTGATCAAATATATTGTCATCTGTGGTTGTAGGTATTAATCTAATTAATTATATTCACTATTCATAAGTACTTAAAATATTTAATAAAATAATCAGAATAACTATGTTCAAATCATAATAACTTAACAAATAATTTAAAATATTAATAAAAGTTTCTATAATGTAGTCAATTTAACTATAAAAAGGTGCACCCCATTGAATATATAATATGCAGTGATAATACTATTAAAAATTTAATTAATATACTAATAGAAATAAAATTTGATGGCCGGTGCAATTCAGAATTGTAAATTTCAGCTTAGAAGTATCTATGTACATTAAAAACTATTCAATTTTCAAAAATATATATATTTTTTTTTCTTATATACTATTTTACAAATGAAAAGTAAGTTAATAAAAAAACAATGTATACTAATTTAAAGTATAGCACTTGGTCATTATGGAAATATATAATATTGCTAAATATTTGAATAGATACTATGTAACTCATTATATAGGTTGAAAAAATGAATTAAAGAAATAAATATAAATAAAAAATAAAAACATAAAAATAAAATATTTAACCATAAAAAATTTGAAAAAATGCTACATGTACACAATAAATTATAAATGTACATAGAGGTGTACATAACACTCACATGGGTTGGGGTCCACTTGATTTTCTACTTGAAAAATACTACAAGCACATAATAAATGTACATAGAGGTGTACATAACACTCACATGGAGTGTGACCCACTTGATTTTTTATTTTTAGTAGGACACACTTAATGTGAGTATTATGTACACCTCTATGTACAGTATTATGTACTTGTAGCATTTCTCTTTTTATTTTTGGTAAGCCCACTCAATTTGAGTGTTATGTACACCCTATGTACATTATTCTGTACATGTAGCATTTCCCAAGAATTTGTGTGTTGCATAAGGATTAAAGTTACTAAAAATTAAAATTTATTTATCAAATTTTTTAACATTTAATGCACTTAATAATTATAGAGGAAGGTAAACGTTGGTCAATTATGGGTTACACGTTGGTCAATTATCAAGCAATGTGCAAATTATGAATTGTTGAAAAAAATTATAAAATTATGATAACGATAATTTTATAATTACATACAAGTAATTTGTATGCAAACATCATATGATTTTATACATTTACAATATTTGATAAACTAATAAATAATAATATTTATATACTAAATAGTCAAAAACTACAAGAAAAATATATAAAAATAAAAATTAACAATAATAGTAAATAAAAAAATGTCATATAATTACTGAATATATATTACGGAGAATCATATTTCATATTATCTTAATATTTGAATAAAAAATATTTTTTTTCTATTACACCCCGAGCATAGCACGGGTGTAGTTTTAAATTGAATAGTGTTGTAGAATAATGGCGAAAGTAAAAACGGGGAAAAGTAAAAGATATGCTTTTCATTTATTTTGTTGAAAATAAAATTATCTAAAGCCGAACGAAATTGGTTAAAAAGAGAAAAATGACAATTGTAGGGTAACATCTATGTTTAAAAAGATACACACGGNNATGAATTTCACTTGTATTTTATATAAATTTCTTTAAATAGAAAGTCAAAGTATTTAGATAAAAAATCAGTTTATTATTTTATAATTTTCTCACAACTTCTTTCAATATATATAGATATGGATATACAAAGTCATGTATTCATCACAACAATAAAAAAACATTATTATGTCTAACTTGATATTAATTTACAACTCATTCTCTCATACATTAATTAAAAAGAACATCTTATCTTATTTTTTTCTTCATTTACATATATACTAGTATTCGATCCTGTACACATGCACAAATGTTTAAATTATTATAAGTCAGGTGTAGGTATATAATATTAAAATTATAAATTTGATAATAGTATCACATTTTAAAAAAATTGTCATTAGTAAAAATGAACATCATAAAAATATTTAATTTTATCACTATATTAATTGCATAAAATGAAATGAATAATATAGTTTTTATAAATTTGAGAGGTTCCAACTTATTAATTATCTTATAATTTATAACTATTATTATTATTATTATTATTATTATTATATTATTATTATTATTATTATTATTATTATTATTATTATTGGATCTTTACTCCAACATTGGGCTTATTATGTGAAATAATTATTGTATTGTGGTTGCCAAATAAAGAAGCTCAAATAAAAGTGATCAATTAAGTTTTAAAGTATCATTAGGGTGTGAGCCTTTAATGTGTAGAAATTAATGAGTCTTCTCTATTTTAATGATGGGCTAAAATAGAGATGTCCAATGTAACTTAATGTACATAAAGGATTGTCGTCCATAGGTCATACGATCGATTGATTGAATTAGATCTTCTTCTACATCCCATCGACAAAGAGGCTACAGAGAAAGTTAAAAGGGTTCTCTGAAAAGTACACGATCGCATAGACATAGAACGCCAAATCCCCAAATCAATCACATATTGATTCAGGTACGCTTCCGCTATTCAATTTCGATTCTCAATTATTCAATACGAAAGCTCCTGGACTAAAGCGATGGTTTTCGCCTAAGTTAATTCCAACACCTATGACTCTCTTATCGTACCTCTAGTAAAGCTACCTAATTTTGAACTCGTAATAACTAATCTTTTATGTTTATTGTAATCGTTAGGAAATAATCACAGAGAATTGTGTTAAGTAATAGAAACAGTAAACTCAGAAGTAAGCTCAATCAGTTGCGGAAGCTTGGTTCTACAAAACATGAACCTTCAAGGAAGCATCCCATTCCCCTTCCGTAACTCTTTCATTAGTATAAGTGTTTCCGCCACTACACAAAGGTTTTACTATGCAGACTCCCTCTCTACAACCTTTAGTATAATCACCTATATAATTATTCTTCCGACCACAAATCCCTTGTGGTTTTTCTAACTTGAATCCCTCAAGCTATTCTAAGTGTTCCTCCCGAACACTTAATTTGACACTCACAGAATGAATATCGTTCTATGAGATCGAGAACATACCCTCGACTCTCTACTCAATCGAATAAAATAAATTCAAAATACTCAAGGACTGAAACTCAGACGTTCTTCACACCCAATATAATAAAAACTCTATATATTTTTTTAACTCTCAGTCCTCGTCTATTCTCTTTTTACTCGTGCTTGCATATGGAAAGTCTAGATTTACTTCGCTGCCAAGTCACGCTCAACAAGGTAAGTTCCTTGATTGATCTGCTGCTATCAATTATGGAATGTTGTTTACGCGGCTTGAGTCACTTCACAAGGTAAGTGCGGTTGATAGATATTTCCCTTAATTTCTGCATAATTAATAACCATATTAGTTAATTTTATATAACGAACAAAGCAAATAATCTCTCTCTTCTTCTCTCCCGATAAATAGCCCGACACAGCGCCTCTCTCTTCTGAATCGCGTCGCCTTCCTCGGTGATGGTGCGGCGCCGGCCGGTGGTTGCGTTCGATCGCCGTCCCTCCTCTACTAATCTGGACCTATGGTGTTGCCGTGATGTGCTTGCGTTCGAAGGTCTGCCTAACCCTAGTTCGTCGGAGTCGGAGTGATTGGTGGAGGCGGGCTCTTGGGTCGTCAATTGGACTGCAATTGGTGTATCCCGGTCTCGATTGGAGGTGAGTTCCACTTCAATTTCTGGTTTCTATTGGTTGCTCTGTATCTGTGCGAATGGAGGGCTTCGGGCGATTCCTTTTTTCTGGTGACGCCCCGTTCGGATTCTCTCTTTCGGGTGCCGTTGCCGGTGGTGTGCGGTGATGCTGATGGGTTTGTGGGTTGTGAGGCGGGGTGGAGCTCTGCTTGTGTGTCGGGGCTGAGGGCTCGAATCCCCCCCTTCCGGCTAGTGGTGTTAGACGGCAGGGTTTTGG